GCGAAAAATGGAGTAATACAATTTGTGATTTCAATAAATGCTACGAAATTCAACTTTTTCTAGTTAAACACCGCTAGAGTGAGTGGTGGCAATGGGTAACTTGCCAGTCATTGATTTAGATCGTATTAAGAAAGTTCTACTCACTACTGTACCAAAAGTCCGAAGACTGCGTCATTGTTTTAGCAAGCACTGTGTATCAAGAACATTTATTTGCGTAAACATTTTTTGCGATTTTTTCCTTCGAAGTATGCGGAAGAAAAATTGCTAGGTTTAAAAGCACTCAAGGTCTCAAGAAAATTCCACCAAATGAATATGTTTATGGTGGGTTCAAATTTTTATTTTATCGATTTTAATACGGCGAGCTTTAGTCATTTTCTCGCACGTTTGTCAAGGAATTATTTGCTCTAAATTATTTCTATAGCCCCATTGTCTTGCGGTCCATTTTAACCAGTTGGTTTTTTTGGAAAATCATTATTTGCCCAAGTGGAAAAAATGACGTGGTGACAAAGTCCAATTGCCATTTTTGGCGCGATATAAGGGAGTGAATTGTAGTTTCGCATTACTCAGCGTAAATTGCGTGCACAAGATCTGATCGATAGTTATCAGTACCAGTTCAGTTTTCGAAACGCGTTCGAGGTTTTAATATATTATTGTGGTTAACGGTAAGTACTCCAGATCTTCCACGACAAAGAAAAATTTTGTAAATAAAGAGGTTAGTCGTATTTCTGTATTTTTTTCAAATTTACTCGATAACTTTAAGATCCGTTGTAAAAGGTAAATTTTGAGAATTGGCCATTTCAAAGTAAATTTTAACTGTCCCAAATTGTATCAGGTAGAATATTAGAAAATGAAAATTAATGTAAAAAGGGCATTCTTATACCACGCTTAATATTTCCTGATTTTATCAATATACAGTGATTTGTCACTGTTTTGCTGGACAGTACAAAAAAAAACAAAAAAAAAAACCATTTGTAGCAAATTTTCAGATGAAGGACAGAAGGTCTGATCTCCTTCGTAAACACGGCGAGTAAAAGAGGTAGTATAATAGGGACCCGTAAAAGCTAGCCGGAGGTATTTTAACAATTTTTTATGATACGGTTTTTTGGTTACAGTTTCCAATTTAATAAAAAACCAAAGAAATTGTCAACACATTATTTGCAGCTTGGGATGCAAAATTTGCAAAATGGCAGCCATTAGTGAGACTTTAGTGCAGCCTCTGTTGTACTGGTTAATGGAAATCCAAAGCAGAGTTATGCTGATACATACTAACATAAGCAAAATGAGATGTAGATGATCGTCTTCCAATTGTCTGTGAAAAGGTCATGAGGAACAATATTCCAAAAATTATTTTTTAAAGAAATTTGTTGTACCATTTTAGTTCAAAAATAACGGACCATTTTGTTATCATTAAACATAAGCGAAATCGATTTCACTTCACTACATGATAGTAGAAACTATAAACGTTTCTCTTACTTAGAACTTTGTTAAACTCACCAACAATCCGGCGATTTATTTTGCGAGATTCCTCTTAAACTTTACGATTGTCTGTCCACAATTACTAAACATTGAGACATTACTTTTTTAAGGATAGTTTTGAAACTTTCTCTCGTGCTCATAAAATGCACCGCAGAAATGGATTAAGCCTCTCGCTTTCAAAGTATCTTTCGTATTATAAGGGGAGGATTACTTTTCGATTTTGTATTAATTACATTTTGTACATAGCTCGACAAAAGGCATCGATTTAAATTTTAATTTTGGTGTTATGCAGAAAAGGGTATAGCAGACTTGTAGAACTTGTGGTATTTAGGGCTGTAATTACAACTAAAGACTTTTCCTGCATAATCCTACTTAATTCATGGCACCCCTATAAAGTGAGTTTGATTTACAGTCTTTGAACTTTAATCTGAGTAGTACTTAACGCCAATCAGATAAGTGGCAATTACAACAGACTGTTTTGTCCTCTTCCGGTCGTTAACGTTCTTTTTGCTGCGTATGTAAGGCATAAAAAAACTTTAGAAATGTCCCTCTATTTTCTCTGTGATATAAACGGCGAAGAGATAACTTTTTATAAAAATGTGTTCGGTTGAAGTTTCTTTGAGGCAAACCTTCCATTCGAGATAATTCCGAATGGGAATCCCCATGCATATTTTGATGAATGCAACTCGAACTTAATTTTAATTAACATTTCCCAGTAGTACCTAAAGACCCCCCGGGTGTTTATAAATGCGGATTGTAGTAGATGGTATTTATATGTCATAAGTGTCATTTTCCCATTCACGAACGCCTCTACAGTCCAGTAACTAATAATATCATATACTGAATACATACATAACACTGAATAGGGGCAGATTGGCTAGCAATCGAATTGTCGATGAATATAATTCCATTGCGAATGTCGACAAATAGTACGCGTGATAATTGGTACGTGTAATTCGAAACGTGTTCTTATGGAAGTACCTATATCGTAACATCCTTATTAACGAGCTCGTTCAAGATTTTGAACTGTTTGTCCGTCCGTCCGTCTGTGTACATAATAACTCGCCAACGGTTTTGAATTTTCTAATTCTGTTTGCAGTAATAGGTAGACTGTGATGGTTAAGGGGCTAACGAATTTAGTCATTTGGACTTTCTGTCCATCCGTCCATGTATGTTGTCTATATTGGCTCTGAAACAGTTAATTAACTCAAATGTTTCTACGAAATTTCAGCCACATATATTTCTAACAAATTATTTTATCTTTCTATACCATTAATTTAGTATCCAAATTTCAAGTCGACTCAAGACGAAATGACAAAGGGCAGCTTTTTTTTTTAGGAAAGAGGGCGTCACCTATTCCTACTCAACTGTTAAATTATGCGGTAAAATCTCTTCAAAACTGGCATTGTTCAATCCCTACATAAGGTAAATAAGTGGTGAGTTTTCAAATCCGATATAAATTGAGATTTATTATTAAGAAACTGACAAAATAATGTTCATAAAACCATTATTTTCCACACGTCAATAAAGCTACTACGACGGTTCATTATTTAATGTTACTTTTATTTTCCACGCGTTTGGTTTATGGCCCTATGAACCCTTGATATAGGCTTCCTGAATGGTTCCCCAACATTGCTCGACATCGTGCTAAATCATCCAAAAGTAATGGGTTGGCAATTACAAGAACTTGATTATATACGACATAAATATTAACAAATCGGTAAAATAGAATTATTTGGTATGAAAATAATAGTTTTGTTTAGTAGTGGTATGTGATACGTATGTGTTTGTGAGAGATTTATTGAAAAGCATTACCTTTATTTCAAAGGCTTGTCTTGAAAAGCAAAATCAAGTTAATTTATTTCTCTGTGCGATTATATAACCAATTTATCAATTTAGACATTAAGCACGGATTATTTGTACTATTAAAAAGTTTTCGCGTTAGTTCAATCGAGAAAGAAAACATCTGCGGATTAAAGGGGTGACAATTTCCGACAAACATGTGGCGTTCCTTCTTTCATTCATTTTAAAAATATGCGAGATAAGATTGTTTTACTTAAGGGAGCGCAGTTTTGCAAAGAAAGTCAGTTGGCACTCGTTCATTGATCCTAACATAATATTTTAAATACCACTATTAACGCTACCCGACTAAACTAAGTAAACGATACATTCTAGAAAAAATTGTAAAGTGCGTCATTCAAAATTCGTTTAATATCATTAACAATCATTTACTTATACTCCTGTGTCTTAAAATAGGCAACTTGTTGCCATAATAATATTTAGATTATTGCGATTTTCGTGATTATTACAATTATTGAATTATTCACGTTTATTATACTAAAATTGTTGAAATTTCATTAATTTGTCATATTCCCCAGATTCTTGAGGTTACTGACAACCTCGAGATTTGGAAAATTGTTAATTCTTGAGATGTTCAAACCTTTTGCATTATTGGTATTCCTTCAATTCTAATAATTACCCATTTCTCAGATTTTAGAGTTTCTCGTGAATCTTGCAGTTATTAAGATTCTTGGGACTATTAAAATATTATTAAAATTCTGGTAGTTCTCGAAATAACGGAAATGAATATTACGAATCTGGGGCCTAAAGGCCTAAAGAAAATATTGGTATGAATCTATGAACGACCAAATAGCAACAAACTTTAACTCTTCCTCTTGTTCGCTGGACCGCTGCAATTTTTTGTGTGATTTGATTCCCTTTTCTGTAACTAAATGTAAAAGAACCGATTGAGGTGGGCCCGGATCTCCTCGGCAATTTCCTTGATATCCCGCCAGTCCCGTCTGTTTGATGGGCAATTCTTCCCTGACCTCTTTATGGAAAGTCGTACATAAAAGACTAAGGAGGATTGAATGCCACGTATAAAGAACACTGACCGTTTGGCACATATCTATAATCTCTTGCATTGTAAACAATACAATATTCCTTTAATTAAGATTGAGTGGGTTTCTGGACGCTACGATAGGAAAGTGGGTTAGGTTCCCTAAAACATTTCTACATTTAATGGAGAAACGAAGCGGCATGACACACCTGTTCCTACGCTGCATATTCTCTATATTTTGTAGAGCGTACGCAACTTCTAAAGGATTTGAGTGGAACGAAGTTGATCGGAAAACACATATTTCCTTGTATGCTCGCGATTGATTGAATATATGTGGGTTTTTCTGCGTCGCACAAAATATTATAATTTTCTAAATCGGTTCAATGCACCCTTCGCGATAGCTCTTTTAGAACATGAGATCTGTTAAAAAACCCTACTTCTCATGTGGAAACCTGGCTGATCCAAGTACGTGTGGGTAACTATAGATTACCTATTCATCCTGCGGGATGTCATCGTATCCCTCGTTTGAAAACCCAAGGGTACCTATTTTATATTATTAATAAAGGAGTTATGTATATTGGAATACGTTTGTTAACAATTTCTTTATGGACACGGTTAGCAACATCAAAATGACATCTATCTAGATCCCGCGTCTTTAACATCATTGATCGGAATTGCACTTGAACATCTAGTTTTCATGACTGTCATGGAAACGCTTTATCAATAGCAAGTTGTCATATGCACGAGGTATTAAAAAAATGAAATTGTGATAAAATTAAAACGTTTCGGTTATAATAAAGTGGGATTCATTCGACAGGCACAAATGGATTGTCCAAATGCGAGCGGAAAATTCGAAAGTGCTTTAAAAACGTCCGATTACTATCGCACTTGTAAGTTACCGAAAAGATTTGAGTATCCTTCGTGGTTCTATGGATATGGACTTCAACGTAAACCGCCGGAACATCCATTGTATAGAACCACCACAAGTGAGTACGGCAGGTATTTTCGTTTACATTTTACTACTTCCTTTACATTGAAAATGTACCTTGTAGACATCCGCCTACTGTGCATACCATTCCTACGTCATACTATCCTAATAACCAGGAATTTACGAAAGCGTTAGCTAAAGCAGGCAACTACAGAAATTACTCGTTAAATACCGGAATGGATAGAAGCATCGTTTAAATTACAAAATTCTCCGGCTTTGACACCTCGTTTGCCATTTACATGTTTATTATAGTAGGATTATTATACACCAAATATACAATTATATATTACAGTTTTGTAAGGCCTTGTTGAAACAATTAATTTCCTCTACACTTGAGAAACGATTCTCAAAGATGTATATGGTCGATGTAACTATATTTGTCTAGTGAGTGGTTGCGAGGCTCAGAGAGAGGCTTGGGTCGCCTATCACCATCTATCATGACTCCAACAAAGGCTCAGTTGCTATTTAAGTACGCAGGTGCTTCGTCGGGAAGCCTAGACTAATTCGCAAAATCTTCACAGAGTTTCTCTTTCACCTGTTTACATTATGAGAGTTATTGGGAAGTGCTCTCTGACACAAACTTGTGAGAGTTTTACATCCCGTGTAAATACTGTTGTGTAATTATATTATAGACAGGGTGCCCATTATGTATGAAAGAAAATTTTTCAAAAAAATCTCTTCTAATTGGATCAATAACATTAATCCAGATATGCTACATCATAATAGAACAAATTAAACCTTGAAGACAAAACGAAATTAGCAGTAAAATGGTTTTCATATCAATCAATGTTCCAAATTGTTCACTGTTAATTGCAAGGCAGTGGCATAACCTATCACAAAAAGCTTGAAATAAAAATTAATTTCTTCTACACGGGTGCTAACGTGCACGTCATTGAAAAGAAAGCAAAATTCTCTATCAAGTGAGCTTAATGAAAGTGTGCATTTCTATTTAAATAAATGCAATTGTTTTTCGTAATTCGTTTGTTTTCTGAAATAAAAACAATAGAATGCTGCCTTATTATGAGAAATAAAATGTTAAAAAACTTTCATACAGAAAAATTTTGTATACTGCGTCGATGTTTACTGAGATATACATGGTGGTGACTTGCGTAATGCATCATAGGGATTTCAATATAAAATTCATAACATGAGATTATTGGCTCCCCAAATTATTTTAGAGCAAAAATGTATGAGTTTTTTGTAAAAAAAAAATTTTTACGCCAATCAACCGTATTAGTTTTCAATTTTTTTCATATAAAGACGGAAAATTGGAAAAATAAAACCCGCATTTTTTTCAATAATCTGCGATGCCATGGAATTTTCTAAAACAAAGATATATCCAGCGATATCCAGTTATCAATTAGCAGCAGTTCGAAATGGATTTTATGATCGACTTGGTTATTGTCTTGCAGTTAATGGTGACTTATTCGAACATTTATTGTAAATTGTTATATTAGGAAACCGTTTTTAGTAATTTGGTCTTTCTTTATGTTGAATTCGCTGTTCTAAATATAATACTTTTTGATAGAATTTGATTTGTTTTATAGCAGACATTCCATGGCATGGCGGATATTGGCGTAGTTTTTGTATTATAAAATTCCATGGCATCACAGATTATTGAAAAAGATGGGGGTTTTATTTTTCCAATTTTTCGCCTTGTTTATGCAAAAAATTGAAAATTAATACAGTTGATTGAAGTAAAAAATTTTTTTCTACAAAAAACTTAATACATCATTTTTGCTCTAAAATAATTTGGGGAGCCAATAATCGCATGTTATGAATTTTACATTGAAATCCCTATGACGCGTTACGCAAGTCACCACCCTGTATACTCTGTTCCATACATAATCAATGGGCATCCTGTATATTCCTGTTAATCAGTTTTAATGAAGTTGACTTGTTTGGGAATAATTGGCTTACAAACCTTTACTTATTATAAACTAATTAGATGTAATATTAATTTTGATTTTTATTACTGTCACAAATGAGTAGCCCAGCCACCTCCACCCCTCTTTTTTGTGACGTTACACGTGCTGCTCTGTGATTGGCTGCGCCATTTTATGGCGGTAAATTTGAATATCTGCTGGAGGTTTGAATTTTTGAATTTGCGAATGTCTACCATTTTGTTGTAAATTTGAATTTGTGTAGGAGATTTGAATTTTTTAACTTCCGGATGTCTGCCATTTTATTGCGGTAAAATTGAATTTACGCGGGGAGTTTGAATTTCTTACTGAGATTGGCTGCGTCATTTTAAATAATGGTGTAATGATAGTTGTATACGTGGTACATATTTATGATCGATGTTTTTCTGCGGGTGCCAATAGGTCCTGTCGATTACTTTTAATTGTAAGTCATATTTGGACTTGATTCGCCCGTTTTGTTGTAAAACCACTTGTTTCATTCAACATAATTAATTACAAAAATTTTATAACCACATGGCGCATGGCCTGAAGATGACAATGACAATCTTCGAAATCGATCGCCAATAGAAAACATACTTACGACTTATTGTTGTTTTTTTATCTTTCATCCATCCCAACAATAAAAATGGTGCAATTTATCTCTAAAAAATAAATAAAGTTCACTATCAGGGTTATTACCAAATTGTAAGGATCACAAATTGTACAATTAATAAACCAATAATATGCCGTGGAAACAGCCAGAAAATTCCGCCTACTTTATTATTTCTAGTTTTTAGCTCTACGGAAGGCTTTTAAAGGTTGACAATACAACTGGATTTGTTAACTTTTACCGTTGACGAGAACCGCTTTATATGGTTGGGGATAGCGATTACTTATTCTTGATGGATGGTTTCTAAGACATCTGCTCCCATCTGATGTTTTAGTAAAAGTGATTTATCAAATTCTTTCTTGTTATCATTAAACCTATCCGTTCTTTAAATGCTAATAAAATGCCAGGATTCACTCTGTGTAAAACATCAAAGCAAAAACTTCTAAGGTACAAAACGCAGTGACGTGTAAAGAACTTCATTAAATGAGACAGAGGAATAGAACAAATTTATTGCAAGCGAATTTATCAGAGAGAATTGCAGATGAGACACTTTAGTAGCAGTTACAGTTACCTGGATCGGTCGTGGTTTTAGGACAAGCGCTCTAATTCTTTATCTTTTGGCTCGATTCCACGTTGGACAAATGTATGTTACCTACCCCTATTTGTAGAGCGGTCACAACTGTAATCTGCTGACTTCGAAGTTTGCGTCTACAACAACTTTAGAGTGAACGTCATGTAAGGTTGAGTGATTGAATATATCCATTCGGAAACACATCTGACGTTTATAACATCAAGGTTGACTGTCACGAAAGTACGTGGCTCCTTTCAAATTCGTTCGTGATGCCGTTAGATAACACAATTCTAAATTTAACGAATCGATATGTTTCTCTACATACATTTTTCTTTTTTTTCCCAGCATGGGAATTTTCAGGAGAAGGCTACGCAACAAGTTTTAAAAGTGGAATTTCTTGTTGAATCCCTAGTTTAATATTTGTGTTGTTGCGTAAATTGAGAAAGTTTTACAAATACATCCATTACGCTTTCGAGGGGGGAAAACAGAATAACTGGCAATTTAGTGCTGAATTAACAAGTGTTAAAGCAGTGTCGCATCACGTCTTTCTCAAAACAGACTGCATAATTTACGAGGGATGTTTGACAGAAACCTAGCGGAAGTTGGAAAACGTGCAATTTTTGTTCTTTGTCTCATTTATTTTGGAACACTGTTGGATTTTACTTCATTAAAAAATTGATGAGCGACTAAGATGCCTAGATACCGAAGCAAAGCAAAGTCTATTTTTCTATTACAGAAAGTGCGATGCGAGGTACTCAACAGCAATTGGTTTTCGGAAAGGTTTGAATTAATAAGCCAAAGTAAGCAACAGACGACATGAGAGCCCTGATCTGTAATTCTGTTTGAGGATTCTACGGGGCTTCTAAGACAAGATAATCGAGATACACACACACAGTCGGCTTGGGGGCTTAAATCTGCCACTTACCAGTCATGCCCGCAGACTGAGGAGTCTGCAGAGTTCGTGACAACCGATTCCTCAGGATTGTCTACATGTTGTACTGTAACAAGAAATTGCTGGAAACCTGGAGATCCAGGTGGAAAGAAGAACTAAAATATTTCAGAATTTATTTTAAATGAAGCGTATACTAAATAATTTTCTGTTTTTTCCATTATCGATACGGCTAGTGAAACCGTATTCGACGCGGACCCAACGTAGTGCATAATGGGGGCAAATCCCACACCGGACATTTACCACGAGCCCTATGAATCAGAGTCAATCCAATTGGGCGTTTGCCGTTTGCAATTGGTTCACGGAGAGATGACATCTCAGCTGAACGGAGTAGTCAAGCTATGATATCGTTACAAGACTTTGAAGAAACTTCGGCACCGCAGGGACACCAATGTATTTCACCAATATCACTCCCAAAGTCCCAAGTCATAATGCGCAGCTTAGTCGGAAGGATTCGTTGTCCAATAGTGTTCCCGGATGTGGCGAAAACAGAGCGAAAAGTCATGAGCTCGGCTCCGGTTGAGTGTATGCTAAGAGTCTAGCTTTGGTGGATGGTTCTGAAGTATTTTCTAGTAGGGTCTTCCGAGTCAAGGCATGGATAGGAGTACTCCAGGCGGACTGGAACCCTCGTTTCTCCAGGAGTGGTAGTTCAAGAGCCGTACCCATTCCAAAGCCGAATTCCATCAACTTGTTCCAGGCTTATACGATTAATTGCATCCAGAAGGAAGGAAGAGACTAGCCGTGAAAACAAAGGTCAAGTAGCCGTATGTCTGTTAATATTGGCGCACAAAATGGCATTGAGCGCACAAATCAGCGCAAGAAGAGCATAGATTAATCTTTTCGGTTCGTATGGCGAAATTTATTGCACTTAGCTTAGTGAAACTGCCGTTTTCTTCTTTTATAAGGCGCAAATATATATCAATGTATGTATAATAGTGGAAGCAATAATATAAATTTCAGCGACATCTAACTTGCTGCGTTTGATTCCAATATGCTCTTATACTCGAAGAGCAGTAATTTGTTTGCTGGAGCTGGGCACAAACATATTAAACAATCTTTTGACAATTGACGACGCTTTCTTATCCTTCGATACAATTTCTTCCTTTCTATTATTCAATCTAATAATTTCTAAGGATGAACTCGGCTCACACATTTTATTGTCGGCATTCCAGATAAACCCCCACCGACAAGCACAGCGAAATGAACCCGGAAGGTTGACACAAGCTTCACGCTCCGAGTTACAATTGTGTAGAGCACTCGAGCATTCGTCTATATCAACGCACATTCCGTATTTCGAGTTCCATTCATACCCAGAGTGAGAGCATTGACAAGTCACGTTCCATCGATTCAAAACGATATCTCCGAAGTCTACATTTTGTGACCGATTTAGAGAACATTGCCGTTGACCAGCCGAATTGTATAGAAAACAAGGGTTCTCCTGATTATCCCAACACATTTCGAAGTTGTTTAAGTGCTTTAACGGACAGCAGGGATCCGGACAGAAACTGTAAAGTGCGCACGAGTATGGCAAATAATCGTTGGCTCGTTGATCGTTATTGTGCTCTCCAAAATTTGGCTCCAAGCAATTGGCGAAATTGTCACATTCCTCGTTAATCCGAATTAAATCGGGAACACCATTCATTGTGTACCAACACATGTAATAACTTGCCGTGGTTCTCCATTGATATCTCTCAATAGGACCCTGAAATGGATCCGCTCTAGCGTCATCAATTTTCAGCATTTTACGACAATCCTTTTCCACAGCAGAAATCTGTGCGGAATGCTCGCCGTAGTTCCATCCTTGTTCCTGTATAACAACAGCGGTATCATCCAGCCGTTTCAATCCTGCGTGCCTAATTTGGCGATTTAAGTATTCGACGCAGCTCAAAAAAGATGGCTCGCAAAATTTATGAACTTCCCAATGAAGCGTTCGTAAAGGTGGCCGAGGAAATTCCTTGAAATAATCTCGAGGCGCTAAGTTGGGGTTCGCTTCATATCGCCTATCGTATTCGTTAAATTTATGTGCCCTCAAGTAATACGCAATATCTTTAAGAGCGTCGTCGAGCCACGAAAAGTCGGAATCGTTGTTTCTTCCTACAAACGGATTGTCGGTCGTGATTTTCTTTTCGGTTGCAAAATGAGCGGCATTAGAATTTGTCGTTTTCACTTCACGCCGACTTCTTTTGTAATTTTTCAGGGTCGCGTTAACGTGATACGATATCGACTTCTTTGTAACGTGTTCATCTTGGCACGCTAACGTAATAACAAAAAGGTTTAATACATTTACTATAATACAGTAATTGTAGAACATCACACTGACATTCAACTAAAATTGTGATACTGACACGAGGTAATTGATGTCAGTCACTCGTTGCTACAGCGTTGATGAATTATTTCAACGTTTATAACTTCAAATAACGGTGAACTACATTATTTATATTTATTTATTTAACATCAATAATAGTTCCATATCATATGGCCATGCTGTGTATACCTGCAGGCCGTACTGATGTATAATTGGTAACGTTTTTAATTGAAAAGTTTTAACGAACACTAAATGAATATACCTTTCAATTTATACAGAAATTTTATCCTTGATTATATTTGTTATCGGTGTTCTATAAATGCATTGATTTAGATGGTCAGAAAGTTTGTTGTTCCGGAGTGTAAACCTCTTGGACAGCGATAGCAAGTCTGTTACGTACGTTAATCAAACTTTTGAACATGTCATGTAAAGCGGGAAATGTATACTCATTTCACCATAGAATTTAAATAAATCAATTCTGAGTTTCGTACGTAAACTCATGATTTTAGTCAATCAGGCGAATATGGATTTCTGCTTAATCTAAGATTGGATGCTGATGGTTTCATAATTCCCTGTATCTGTAATAATTCAAATTAAATAATTAAACAAAGATAGCTTATATTAAAGGCGACATGTTTCCGCAAAAAGCCATCATCAGGCTATAAAAAGTAAATTTTTAACAAACGACCTTGTACCATTTTCAGTCGATCCTTTCCGTTTGCAAATAAGAACCATTTCCATGACATTTTCTCATTTCTAGGTATACCAACTACACCTCTAAGGCCCTAACATACTAAAGCGCATTCAGGCAGTTACAACGAAACAACGGGACGTTACAAGGTCGATAAATAATGGTTATGAATATATTAACAATACGTTTCAGAACTTTTAAACAATTTTTTAGTGTTGAAAACACTTATTAGGATGCTATTTCGAATGTGTCTGTAACGAAACGATGAAACGCTCAGATGTTACCGGACGGAACACGAGAGGGTGGAGAAGCGGCAACTCTGAAACGTGGCAGTTCCCGAAAGTGGGCAGAGGCAGACATACGGAAAAAGTGACTGACTCCGGCCCATTTACAAATCATGATTGTTCAAATCAGGGTTCAAATGCATGAATTTAAAATTCCGCGATCGGGTTTCACCTTGGAAGTATCATCTAAAGCTACCCAGCAACAAACATATAGGAGGCGGCCGACTTATGGTAGACAGCTGGCACTGATGGTAGAGCGCTAGCAAAATAACACTTCAACGGCCCACGCAGCCAGTTGGGGCATTTTGATTAAATTTTAGCCACGCATAAAACTGCGACGGGACTTTTCTTCATCACGTAATTGATGACAACGTACTATGCGGTCGCTAACGTTCAGAGACCTTTGTTATAACATTTTGTTAGGTACGTGCAATAATGGAACTCAAACAGTAAGTATCGCCTATATTTTCTGTAGTTGAAAGGCGGTAGAAACAAATTGTATTTCTTCTTATTTCATTTTAGAACATAACCTCAGACTACTACGGGTGTCGTGATGGCGGTCGCGCTAAAAGACTGCCTAAATGTGATCGATTTTTTATACTGTACTGATCATGGAAAGTGACCATTACTGGCAATGGACTGTATTTACTATGTGGGGGATCAGTGGCCGCCGTAAAGGTTATGATGGCAAATGATCACCTGATGCTGGCTGATTTATTATTATTTACTATTACAAATTATTACAAAGAATTTTCCATATCTCATTGGTGTTGCTGATTCATCTTACAGCAATGATGAAGTTTTGCGAAGCAATTCGGGGACATTTCATGGACACATGTTAAACATAAACAATATTTAAGACGTACCGTACCATGGTACCGCACAATAGTAGATTATTTTATATAGAATAGAAACATTTATTACTTTTCATGGTGCGCCTCTGTTTAGCAGCTGAACGGGTTTTTTTCACTTCCACTTAAGGATCTTGTAAACCGTGCAAAGTGGGTTAAATGGGCAAAGTTATGCAGAATTTTATGCTGATTAATTACCTTATTAATTTTTTGTATTTACCACCGCTTCTAAGTGTTTCTTTACCTCCAACGTGGTCAATTTTCTCCTTCATTTTATTAACTAAACTATTGATCCTAGGGACTTTTTTATCGATTATGTAAATCTTCAAGACGCCCCTGAAGACGCCTAAATCAGAATTATCCAATGAAATTTTGTTGGAACTCCCTCTTCGTCACTTCTTTAAACATCGGCAAGTTTGGCTTAGATCTAAAGAATAGTAATAAGTATTGTCCCATCTCCCTTTTTCTTCCATCCACTTTTCAAATTCCAAACTAGAAGCCATTGTCTGCGCCTGCCAAAACCTATCCACTTGCGTGCAAGTGTGCGACTCTGGCAGTGGGAGTCCATTCCTTTCCAAATACCCTTCCATCATCCCCATCATTTCCTTCATTCGTTCTATCTCCGTTGCCAATATCACTGCGTGGACCGCGTATGCTAGGAACCATATCTTTTTTATTTCCACTACAATCCCTCCACCGCTCTTAATACTTTTCATGTCTCTTACATGTAGAGATTCACTAAGATTGGGCTAAGGGGGTCCCCCTGTCTTAGTCCTTTACATGTCCAAAACACTTCAGACGTCTCCCATTCCATTCTTATCCTCAACATTGATTTCCATATGTTTTCTTGATTCCTGTCCTTTAACTGCTTGTTTATTTTCCCATTTTCCATAATTTTTGACTTTCCATTCTGTCAGCGCTGCCTTTAAGTCCATGAAAAACGAAAACACCTTTCCGCCCTTTTTTCGATTTTGTTTTCCACCAATACCATAATATACAGTCGATCGTTCCCTTCCTATGAAAATCGATACTATTACCCGTTCCTTCTATTCTTCGGCTAAACTGCTCCTTTACTCTCTTGCTTACAAGATTCCTCATCCTTTCCTTGACCCTGTCTCTCGCGAAAATCCAAGCCTCATTTCCTGTCATGTCCTCTCGATTTTTCCCACCACTTTCCCCTTCTTCAGTCTTTTTATTTGCTGCTAGATCTCTTCTCTTGTTACTTCCTCTCTTCCTACTCCTTCCATAGCCCCCTCTTTTTGTCTTGCTTTCCTAGTAGCGCCTTGATACCACTCCACTAACTGTATTTCCCTCCCAATTGTTCTATTTTTCTTTTTTCCTTTATTGATCACCTTCCAAAAATCCTTCTCAGTTTTTATTTACCTGATTTGCTCTTCACATTCTTTGTTTCTCCATCTTTTCTTCTTTACGTTTTCTTTTGTACTTGTTCTTCTGTTCTCACACCTTTCTCTCTATTTTTCTCTTCTGTACACTCTCTGCCCACCACTCCTTTTTTCTCTCTCATCTCCTTCTGTTATTTGTCTTGTAACAAATCTAATATTAATAGTTTATAATCATTGTAGCTAGAAAATTACAAAATTGTTTTCTTTAGTTACCATGAGAAGCCGCCACCTATCCCACCTTTCTATCTCTCACAAGTACCACTTTCATGTTCTCCTTTTCATCTTATTACCACTTCCAGTTGTTCACCCAAATGTAATCAACCGTTGGATATAAAAGCGAGCGTCCAACTCGTAAGAGACACTTTTAGTTTCTACTTCACCTTCCTACAGATCCAGAACCCAACCTGTACCCTATAATTTCTCTAGACTTCCCGAAAACCACCTTCTCTAGAAACTTAGGTTGGTGGTGCGCACCTAAGGCCTAACTTTCTGTCCTGCACCCTCATGCAGTTAACCATCCTGAAGCTACTGTCCGGTACTTGGTACCAGGTCTGTATCAGGAATTCCGTTTATAAGTTTATAAGTGCGTACCGAGGGGTAAACCGCTGGAGGAAATAGTGTACAAGTTGAGGGGAATTAAGAGGGAATTAGGGTATTTCGAAGGTATTAAAAGGAATTAATAGGTATTTTGAGAATTACCGAGGAAATTAAAGGTATTATGAGGTATTAGTAGGGAATTAAAAGGAATTAAAAGGAAAATGAGGAAATAAATAGGTTTGCGCATGCGCTAACTTACCTCAGAATTAAAATGACGCATCGTTTTACATCAGTGACTCGTATAGTGCATACCTCGGTGCATACTAGCTGTAAACTGTGACGTGCCGGTATAATATTTGGTATAAGATTTTATTAAAGATGCTTGTTTGTATTTAAATTTTTTTATTACTCTGTCTTGGATTAAGTATCTTTTGTTTGTTTTGGTAATAACATTATGTACTGAATAAATTAATATTTTTTTATGGAATTCATATTTTTTAAACTTCACCACTTGCTTCACTATAAACCAAAAATAAATTTATATTTTAAAACGTTTATGTTACTACGGAGAAATCAATAAGTTCAATAAATAATTTTAGTAAAGTTATAAAGGTAGATATTAGTCTTTTTTTATCTATTTTGTTTATTTATTGCCCCTCTCTTGTTCCGTGCCCTCAACAGGCTTGCGCACAGTTACAGAGTGACCCGCATAATGCTTTCAAGTTGTTGTATACTACTCCTGTATATTTACCTTACGAATTAGGGAAACTGCAGGAAAACCTAATTCAGAGTAGCCGGCAGAATGCTCGAAACTGATCTAAGGAAATTCCTATCTCTGATAGAAATGAAAAATTCTTACCTCAGCCCAGGTTCGAACACCCGTCCTCCGGCTTTGTAGCCCAATTATAGAGAATAGAGCTGTTGTAAGAATTATGGGGAATTCAGAGCAATAATGTAGGTAGATATTAATAGAAAATAAAAAAAATTGTGGAGAATTGAGAGCATTATTAAGGTATTAATAGGAAATAAAAACGTTTTGAGGAGTTCATGGCTATAATTAAGGTATTAATAGGAAATAAAAAAATTATGAGGAATTAAGGAATTAAAAGGAATTAAAGGGAATTAAAGGGAATTTTTTCAGGAAAAGGTATTTGGTGTACAAATTTTTGCTAGCGGTTTACCCCTCGGTGCGTACATTCGACAGTGGCGTGCCAATTTAAAATTGTTATTAAATTAAAATACTTTAAATTTGTAACAGAGATGGTTTCAGCTTTTAACTTGTTTTACTACAGAATCCTGCTGCGACACGAGCTGCCCGAACCAGCACTTGGGGCTCTCAATTTTCGAACACCGACCCCAGTAGCCTTGGAGATAGTCTCCTCGTTATGGTTTTTTTAACAGTTTCCTTTATTCCACTCTTCCGTACTCCTTCCTATTTCTTCTCCTTGGTCCTCTTGTTTCCTTCTATGCAGTTCCAGCGTGTCTCTTGTCCGTAACTGTATCACCCTTCGTTTTCGCGTCGTTTTCTTGATCTTCTTATCTTCCCTTTTAGACTACTATCCTTGTTCTTACCTTAAATTCATATATTTTCTCTAGTACGTGTTCATTTACTATTGTGTAATCAATTGCCCACCTCCTTTTTCCTCCCATGCATTTAAATTGTCTTCCTCCCTCCATATTTCTGTTTAAAATTCTTCAATGCTCTCTCTTTGTTGCACACTTTCTATCTTGTGTTCTTTTTCGCATGTTTACACGTCTTCCTTTAATTCCTGTTCTAATATTAAAGGCTCTCTTCTCCCTTTCATCTACCATATTTTCTATTCCTTGCTTCTCTTTCCTTTGACATCCATTCTCTTCCCTTTTCTTACCCCTTTATATCCATGATTCTACCATTCCTACGACATCATATATCCTCTTACAAACTCCCAGAATTTAGTGCCTTTACCAGTTACCCTCGCTACATTCAAGAATATCATTTTCGTGTTTCCTTTCTCTATTTTTATTTATTTTCTCTATTTCTCTCTCTTTCTCTCTCTCTATCTTCTCTTTTGCTGTTAAATGTTTCCTCCAAATCTTGCCCCGTCCTTTCCCGTTCTTTTCCTCTATTTTTTCACTGATTTTTGTAGTCCATCATCTTCTACTTATATCTTTCCCTTTCTATTTTCACTTTCCGCGACCTCTCTTAATTTCTTTGTATCCTTTTTTCTTCATATCTTTCCTTTAACTTTCCCTTTCCTCTCATAACTTCCCTCTTCTTTTCCCAAGTTAATGCCTTATTTCCCATTGCTTCAAAATGTTCTCGCCTCTATTACATTCGTCTCTACTTGTAGGTTTTCTTGTAGCCATTCCTTCGTTCTCTCTCCGCCTTCATTTTTTCTTTCATTTTATCTATTTGCACCTTTGTCTCATAAACCGCTCTTCTTATGTCCTACTTTACTCCTTCCATCAATTTCTCAATTGCGTTCTCCATATTTTTCTCTTCGGTCTTCCCTCAAATCGCTCCATTCTTCTTTTTCTATTCCGCTCTCTCTCCTCTTTCCCTCAGCTTCCGCTTTCCTTTGCAACTCTCTGGCTGTTTCTAAAAACTTCGAACCACACTTCGTCGTTTGCTCCTTTCGTCTACTTTTGCGAGAGAATATGTATGGTAATTTAAAGTGGATACGTCGAAGTTTTTGTCCAATGCCTAAAATGTAGGATTCCCTTATTTATTATTTGAATTTTTTATGACCGGTGTTTATGACTTTATTTGTTACTCAGTTGTAAACGTTGATTAACAAGACAAAACGCAAACGGGTAAACGTCATCTTCAAACGCTACTGACTTGTAAAACTGACAGCTGACGTGTAAAAATTTTACAAGTTAGTAATCTAGTAATTTCATTGGCCAGAATTAATGCGAAGTCTCTGTTACATGGATAATATGATATTTTAGACATTTCTTCGAGATCAATTTAAGAACTAATTATTTACGTTTACAAATGAGTAACAAATAAAATATTGTACAATATACGCCAGGTAATAGTGTTTACTGGCTCTAGGAGATGACAGGCTCGCCTGACGGCTCGCCAGTCAACTTCTCCTATCGCCAGTAAAAACTCACTTATCTGGCTAATAATGTAAAATACTATGCATTTACACAGAGATTTACACTTAATAACAAATAATTGCAAATTTAGCTTTAAGTCATGTTTAAAAATTTGACATTAAATTCAATTCCGCTTATGCCATCTGACACACTATTCCGAAGTAGATGCGTTAAACTCAATCTACAAAGTTCGGATTGAGTCAAGTATTGTATCCGATCTAATTTCAACCTTACAACATTTATGCCGCATATCTCTGCCAAAACCGCATAGAACCTACCTACCTACACGTTCATGCGGCGTAAACGAAGTCAATGACGGATACTTGAACCTGAGTTGGAAGAAAAAAAAATGGGAATAGACAATAACAATTAAAGTTTGGAATTAAACCATCAGAATGACAGCAAAAGTAGGTTTCTAAAGGTATATGTCCTTTGAAATTTTGAGAGATGAGTCTTTTAGTGAAAGCCTGAGGTTTTTATTTACGCTTTAGTGTAATTCAACACAAACGTTTCAAAGCAATCTTGTATCTTCAGGTGACAAGTTAATAACTTTAACTCCTTCCAAAGTATTCTTTTGAAAATAATATTATAATTGTGTTTGGTAAATACACTCACGCAAGTTACTAACGGATTTATTATAAGCCTGGTTTACTTACAGAGGCGTGGTAAGAATTTTTTTTATATTACTCGTGCTGAATACCATTATCACATTAACTTGCTAATGAATGCTAAACACAAATGTAAACGGTAGTGTTGACGTATTCATATCCGAAGCTCAGAAATGAACACAGAACGCCACAGTTGATATCGTGTACGTATGCAATGTACCGCATTAATTTTATGTTGATTATAGTCATCGTCATTTGTACAATGCGTGGTGAAAGTGATATTAATAGAGTAAAACGTGCACTTCTGGTTGCTCCCATGGGCGGAGTGTTTAAGGTGACCTCTCTTGGGAATACTCGTTCTTTTGTAATGGAGAAAAGCTTTTTTAGTTGGTAATTGGTGTCGCCATTCCTATACATCTAGGTCTTAAGCAAAGTATGGTATATGGTTTAAACTTCCAGTTTCAATACGCTCAGCCACAAAATGTTAGCCAGCTTAAAGTATACCCGCCGATAATATCGAGAAAGAGAGAAAAAAGAGAAGAAATGTTCAATGATAGAGCGGTTGCTTACGCAGCACTCGAATCATTGATGGACAGGTAAATCAATCTAATTACACTGTCGCTCATAATATATTAACGTTCTACCAGTGTGTGTCTAAATGGAAAGTGCTTCTCAATTATTGTTAACCTGTGCATTATACTTTTGAGTTCAATTATCCCTCAAATTAGAGCGATTTATGCAACGAAAGCATAAATAACCTTTTACGGTATTTACGTAGGTAATTTTCAACTCGGTTACCTCGCGAAAAAAGTAACTTATATTTCTACTTGATATTTGGAACTAGAAAGTGTAAAATAAATTGATTTTTCATTTACAGCTAGTCGTTTTAAAATTTAAGGATGACATCTACAATGCCTCGGTGCGTAAACAAAATTATTAGTACTAAATATAAGTAAAAGTCAACTAATTCGTATTTTCTTTCCGTGCAACTAAATTGATATTTTCAGTGTTTTAGGTACTACAAAATTGATGGTAGAGCGTGTTTACTCCGCAGTATATGCGAGAACGCAATGCAGTCTCTCCACAGTGAGGAAAACGGAGTGTATGGAAAAATAATGCACGTCTTATTAACGTATGTAATATAGCAAAGCAGCAGCTTCTATACTAATTACATTGCAGACCTAATTACGGCAACAGAGGGATTAATTCAGGATTAAATCCGTTATATCTAGAAGCCTTTACAGCAGGGAAATATGGAGTTGATTGCATATCACTTTATCCTTCGTGTCCTTACGGACACGGGATTTTGGATATAATCACAACGTTAGCGGAAAGCTAAGTTTGAAGTTTAAGATGTTTCAGTTCAAATTTGGGTAGTTGATAATCGACAAAATAGTAAAGGATTTTAAGCATTTTTAATGCCCTTATAGTGAAATTCGTTTTCAATCCACTAACAAAAACGAAGAGGTGGGCCAGGTTAAATTTCGAGTCTTTCTTAAACGGCACGCATATGATAAAGACCGTTTTTTTTTAATTTCCCAAATTATTCCTAGTTTCTCACCGTAACCGTTAGCTGGTGGCGAAACATTTTCTGTATAAATTTTAAATGAAATAGTGTATCCAAACCGCTATTATAGTAAAAATTGCAAACAAAATGTTCCCTTATGTAGTTTGCTTTCTTATTTATTTATTGTCCCTCTTGTAAAATGACATGGCGGAGAGAGTTTAGATGTACAGAAAAAGAGTTTTTTTCTGTGCTGGGATTCCAGAAACTGGTTATGGTTTAGAAAATACATGATTATGCATTTTTATACAAATGTGGCTTTTTATACTCGTATACATTTTTCCGATATTAGACGGAAAGATTACGCCAGATCGTGTACGATGATTAGTAAACGTCTGTTAACGCAATTTTTTCTTTACATGGGTTAGAACTAGCGTATAAACGTATATCATACGTGTTTAATCTCGGTATGAGATCAAGATAGTTTAGGGGTAGACTCTAAGGCGGCACCCGTCACTGTGTCAATTTGTAGACTCGGAACCTTACACCCCAAATGAGTAGAAACAGCCTAAGCTGTAATACTGGTTTATTCATAATATTTACACGTTTATATACACTGTTATTGTCCTAGTTCTACTATTTGTTTACTTACCTCAGCGATACTATTATTTTATTATTTGCATTTTCATGCCTTACTCGATTGACCTGCTTTATATGTATGCATAATACTGATGTCTTAATACCTACTTAATCTACACGTTAATTACTTAATTAATATTGTTTCCCAGATTAATCTGTGATTGAACAATACGTCTGTTGAGCATTCCAATCTATGTTTGAATTTCAAGTCAATGTAATTTTGTTTAAGAATAATTTTATTGTTAATTTTGTTTAAATAATGGTTTGCATGTTTTTATTTAATTGTAAAGAAATTAGGTCTTAAAATATTAAGTTTATTTTTTGTGAACGTGTTATCTCCGGTTGTTGCGATAAGAAGTTCCGTTATCTCTGCATTAGCTAATAAAGTTTTTAGATAAGCGAATTTCACCGATAAGAAAACACAGGTATTAAGTTTATTTGAAGACGCAGATGAAAGTGGAACGCAAAGAGGATTTCCTTCAAATAGGAGAGGAGGACGTGAATCGTTGCGTTTTTGGTAGTGTAGACTTTTGATGTATCGCAGTCAGCGGTAGTTGAGCGTATACCCATTAGCCCAGTTGCTGAAGGCCGAAGGGCAAAGGCGACTACGACTACTTACTCTAGGGCAGGGATGGGGAAATAGTGGCCCGCGGGTCAAGTTCGATCCGACCTACCATTACATTCGCAAATACAAATTTATGAACAGGATGACTGAGGAACATCTAGAAAGCGTTTTGCGAATTTCTTCCACTCATTTGAAGCCAAATTTCGAAGCTATAATTAATGAACAGTCAAAATTTCATTTGTCACACTGGCTCAGGACATCGAAAAATAATCTTTTTCAAGCTGATTTTTTGTTACTTATAAATAATAAATCCTCTTTGGCCCGCTTAAAGGCTGTAATTATTTTATGTGACCCTCTTTTAAATTTATTTCCCCATCCCTGCTCTAGGGCGTCACAAGCTTATAAAACGGAAAATCTTGCTTCGAAAGAGGGAAAACACAAGAAAATAAGAAAATTAACACAAAAGCTTGGATAAAGAAAAACATTTGCAATTTTATTTATATAACACAATGTAAATTAGATATAACTTCCCGGAGAGAAAAAAATATGACACGACTATTAGGTACTTATAAGAATTGGTTCAACTAAAAATTGGGTGGTGATAGCGTAAAAAATAGTTTATAGGAAGTTATAACTGACGGCAAAAATAGTAGTTCTAAGTGCTAGTTTAACTATGTACCAGTACGAGTGTATGAATTAAAAGTGTGTTATTTTGCGCAGGTTGCCGTGTCCATAATTATATCTACTGAAATAATTGAAGGTATGTAGTTATAATTGGTTTTTTTTTGTATCCCTGCAAAAAGAAGGTAATACGAGAACGTAACCCCCGACCAATATTTATAGTTGCAACTATGCCTTATCGCCTTAAGCAATGAAGGGATGTGCTATTGAATCAAAAAGGCAAAAAAATTAAAATAAATCGATCAGTATTACCTAAAAGTGATTCATCCAAATATACACCCTTTTTATGGGTGCTTCATTTTGACCGTGGCACCTTGTTTCAAAACATGGACTCATGCACTCGTGTTTTTTTTAATGGTCTAGCTGAATTATGCATAATGTGCAGTTTTAAGGACATTTAATCGACCACCTCTAATGCAATGATGTTGCAGAAACCTAATTGATTTTGAGTTGCAGAAAGCGCGAGGTTATTTATACGAATAATGGAGTCTATATACGTTTTATTCCTCTAGTCGAGGTGCAAAAAGTCATCCCTTGGAGATACTGAGATCGAATTGCAATATGGTTTTTGCAATATAGGAACCATGTACTAAATTGAGCTTAAATGTTTTTCTGTAAATAAATGGAATAAACCACGGCTAACTCCTATGCTAACTCTTTAACTAGATTTTTTTATGATGGCGAGTTGGATGAAATTTCATTTCTTGCTTGCTCGTAAACTTAAATGCAAAATTACCATAAAGTTTTGGATAAATTAATGAAAAACAATAATGAAAGATCAACTTTACAAGCCCTTTTATAGGTTTTCTAATTACAGTTTCCGCTATTACTTACTTAAGTAAATGAATTTTCGTGGCCATGATAGTTTGAACTACCCTTACTTCAATATTAGACCTAACAACAATATACGACACAATTTTATTTACACAATCCACCTAATAGATAATTATAATGAATTTACTAAATTGGACGTTTCCGTTATTGAAATCTGAACATTTTAAACAGATTTTTCTTCTATCAAATCCAATTCTAATGTGTTCATAAATGGTAAAGTACATGCAATACAAAACGTATTCAGTTGTGGATATCTTTAAGAATTTACAAGTCAAATTTTCCTTGATAATTATTTCCTACTATCAAATATAAGTTACGATAATTTTTCTTAGACAAGCTTTTTAAATTAAGAAATAAAATTATTATTCTTATGATTTATTGTGCTGAGAGACCGTACAGTCTTTACACTTGTCAGGGCCATGGTTACAAAATAAAGATTCAAGTATTATTATGGAGATTATTGACATAGATTTTACAGCAAGGATAAAATGGAAATTCATAAGTTATTCATAAGCAGTTGACTAGGTTGTTTGAATAGATTGATTATAATTAAGGGCGTCCATGGTAGGAATTGTAGGATTCTCGGCCAAAATCCCACTCACTCTAAAATAAAATTTTAATATCTCATTGAAATTTGAAATGTACAAGAAATAGCAAATAATGTCCCGTTTACTTTGCCCACGTTCAATGTTTATTTTGACCGAGCTTTCCTCTTTCCATTTCTACGTGCCAGAGGCATTCTTTTGTACATGAATATAGAAATTTATGTAATCATACTTTTAGCACTAACGTCAAAATTTTCGCTCGTGACACGAGCACGTTGTTATAATGGATAGATTACGCTGTAAGCTTATAATTTTCATTTTTCCCGAACAAAGAATCCCCTGTAAAATAAAAATCTTTTCGCGTTTTATCAAAGAATAAATGGTGTTGGGGAAATATCGGATGGTTAAATATACAGCACCTGGAAACTTTCATTTCCGTTTTCCAAATTGCCCATACACGGCGGCGTTATAACGAAAACTGATTTATTAGAAATATTGAATTATCATTTTTTTTGGTGCGAAACGATGCTATAAAAACCAATATGATTAATCACGATCACAACATTACGTGTACATTAATAATCTAACACTTGTTCCCGAAAATGTAAATGTTAAGCTTCGGCTTCTAAGTCTAGTATTTCAAGATATTATAAATATTGTAATATGTAAGGGTATTACATTTAATAACCCAAGTGAAATCGAAGATATGGGTCTGTTCGGATTATAAGATTTACTCTCAAGTTTATCCAGCTTTCTTTTATAGTTGATTCTGTTGGGATCCGTTCAGTTTCGTTAGACGTTTTCGCTTCTTTCGTGGGGAACCGAAAAACGTTCACTATTAATTCTCTACCTTACCCAACTTACTAGAGTAGGTATTATAGAAACAAATAAACGCAAACATTTAAAAGACATTTAAATTTACGAAATATTACTTTCAGAACCGGTAGTCTTAAGTCTATAAAAAAAACGTAGCTAGCATTTTCAATTTCCTCCTAAAGCTAAATCGATGAGACTTTTCATCTTACTGTTATTAAAGTTACAAAAATCTCTGCGGCGTAGGTACTTATATCACAGAATTTTTTTTTGCGGTTGAAATTTCTTAGTTATAATCCAATACACACAGCTTGTTTGCCACAAATTTCTAGATAGCTTGCAAAGGCATAAGTTTTTGTTATTCAGACAAAAATGCAGTACATGGAGTAAACATACGTAAAGGATGCTGTGAAATTTCTTTAACTTAATTGCTGTAAAATGTGGAGAGAATTGAGAAACCACATTACCAATTCTGTTTCTAAAATAAGTTCATACTTACCAAAATGGATACTAAAGTTGGACATGGAAATTTAACGGGATATGGGTAGCGTAATCGAATTTGCTAGAGAACACGCAACCTAAATATAAAAGTGGATTGATGTGCCAGAGAATTATACTGGAAAATAAGTTATTTGGGGACATAATTTATTTGATTTTCACCTACACCAATATAAAAACCTCGCTTTCATAAATCTAATTGTTAGGATGACGTGTAGTCCATTATCTGTAGTATTATATTTTCTTTCAACTTTAACATTTGAGAGACCAACAGAAATACGATCAAATTTTGTTGAAGGGTAAAACAAATAATGCAATTGGGTACTCATACTGTCTTTATCGGAAAAATTTCTGTTTTATGATATCTAATATAAATAAGTGACGGTTATAAAACACCATCATTTGTTTAGTGCAATTCAGATATTCAGGGTGCTATTTTATTCAAAAACCACATGAAAAGAATACATTTGCAAGGTACTTATAGATGTCGTCACGACAAATTTCATTATTAATTCATTACCTTGTAATATTCACTAATTTCATTATATAGTATAGGATTGCTTTAGTTTGCGCGCACGACATCGGTGTACTATGATGTCATCACTAAGTATGTTTACATAGCATCATGCAATCAATGGAATAGAATCACTGAACTATAATTATACTGAAACAAGCGCTCCGTCAGCCAGCGCGATCCGAGAGAGAGGGCCACAAGGGGGATCTCTGGCCTACTCTCGCGCATGCATACAGCAGTCTATTTGGTATGTTTTGAATTTATATTAATGATCAGTTTCCCAATGATGGACAGTGATAGAAATCCCCCTTGCACTATCTCTCTCGGCGTGCTACGTTTCTATGGCAGAGACCGGCAGTGCGCGTTCCAGAGTTTAATTATAGTTCAGTGAATAGAAGGTATAGGGGTAAGATTCGAAATGAAACGACAACCGGTAAAAGGTTTAAAGTCAATTAATTAACGCTTTTGTTAGCCGTTAAAATCCTAAGCATACAAGCGGAAAATTGCCACTTTTTTACATTGTATAAAAACAGGAGTTGATTGTTTTGTAGATTTTGGATAGCAACTTATGCTTAAAATCAATTTAACAACCACAACGAATGACTGAAGGACAACATTAGACGGACCATAGCTTAGATACCGGCCAAAATGATCCACCGAGTCATCAAAAATTGTATTTATCTATTTGCCGTTTGCAAGTAGGTTTGCGGTGGCAATTTTGCAGATATTCTT